GAGGCCCGGCCGGGCTCCCACCTGCGCCTGCCCGCCGCCCTCGCCTTAGCCCATGTTGGCGTGGGGCAGCAAATCATTAAGTCCACGTTTCCTTCAGGACAGCACCTACATCTAGGGCAGTGTTCGGGGCCGCTTAGCTGGGGCTGCAACTAGAGTTTGCTTTAGCTGTCTTTCTGTGGAGGTTAACCCTTTGGGAGGTGCAGGGTGACCATCAATCCGTAGTATTTTGTCGTTCCGACAGCAAACAAGTCTCTAAAAAGTCAGCGAAATCATAGACTCTCTCATCCAACGAGGGAGAGAGAGAGAGAGAGACTCAAATTCTATCCAATGGATCTACAGAAAATCTGGGTTTTTTTTTTGTTTTTTGTTTTGTTTTTTTTTTGTTTTTTGTTTTTTTTTTGGTCTTTCTGAGACAGGGTCTCGCTATGCAGTTCAGGCTGGCCTTGAGCTCACTTTGTAGCCCAGGCTAGTCTCGAACTCACAGAGATCCTGCTGCCTCAGCCTCCCGAGTGCTGGGATTACAGGCGTGCACCACCACGCCTGGCTGAAAATCTGGTTTTGATAGACGTCTGTAAGAAGCAAGGCACCAAAGAGAGTATCTGATCTTTACAAATTACTACGCACCATACATGTTCATAGACAGGAGGCTTTTATTGGTCTTATCACAAAACAGCAAAACCTTGCAGATTGGTGTAAAGACATAAATGCGATTTTTTCCTCAGCTCTAGAACAGGGGCTGAGCCAGCCTCTGCCAGGCTAAGGGCCAGGGCTCGCACGTGCGCAGCAATCACGCGGCTTCTCCTTACTGCTGCTTTTCTGTTTGCATTTCACCTTCAGAACAGCCTTAGGAGATAGGTTCCATTATTGCACCCATTTTGCAGACAAGGAAATGTAGCTATAGCGTGTGGGAAGACAAATTCTGTTTAGGTGTTCATCGCTTTTACATGTAAACGGGCAATTCTTTTTCATTTTATTGTGGGCAGCATTGGACAGGTGAGGTCTAGGGGCGCAGAGCTGACCTCCTGAGTGGTTACTGTTGTTGTGGAAGCCACTGAGCTCTACCCACACCCCTGATTATTGGTGCATTACAGGCTCGTTCTGCCTAAGAGGGCCGAAGACCCGAGCTCACAGGTAAGGGCGCAGAATCTTTGCAGCCCCAGACCTTTTCCAAGTAAGTGACGGTGGGGAATGCATAGTATCCTTGCGGTGCGTGTCAGCTGCTCAAATGCTGCGGGCAAGCGCAGTGCGCAAAGCAGCCCGTGAACCTGTGTGTCTGTCTTCTTGTGGCACTGTCTTCGCTGGTTTCTGCAGTATTACTCCAGCATCTACGTATCAGTTTTGTTGCCTTTCCTGTTTTTAAAAATTTAAAGTTCTCTTCCCCCTCTTTCTGTTTAAATTTTGATATATTCAAAGCAGTGATTAAGCTTTTGTTTTTCTCTAAAAATGGGTTAAATGGCTAGTTGCATACCCTTGACATACATCAAAATAATAGTAGTTTTTTTAGAAAAACACTTTCCTGTATCCTGTGTGAAGAGGAAGAGGCAGGAAAGGGAGAGTCAAGGGGCAGGAGAGGAGGAGCTTCGAAGAGCCAGGTTCTGTGCCAGCAACACCTTTGTATGTGTGAGTCTCCTTTACTCCTCACGCAGTGCTCCACCCTATTGGTCTTTGTTACATTCATTTTACAGACGAGGCGTTTGAACCCCAGAGTACTTAAGCAAAGAGCCAAAGGTCACACAGCCAGTGAGTGGCAACGCGACCAGTGGCATGAGAACCAAGTGGGACTAAATCACAGCTCCTGCTTGTCCTAATAAGGGCCGCAATAAAATGAAGAGGAGAATAACTGGGAGAGAACAAAAGTTTAAGTAAAGAAGATGGTTAGAAGTGTGCAACACAACATACAAGGATGCAGGTGATGAGAGAAATGGAAAAAGTACAGTAACGTTCACATGACTGCTCCTCTCCTACCGGGCTCCCGCTCACTATTTATGGAATGACCTAATTCCACTCATCCACTCCGGGGATAATGCCAGGGTGTCACTGTCTCCCAGGAGCCGTACTAGAGGGCTTCTTTTTTCCCTATTCCTCAATATGTAGCACAGTGCTAAGTGCTGCAGAAAGACCTGCTGAGTAATGGCTTGGGCGAGGAGAGGAAAGAACAAATGCCTAAACCATTGCAGGACCGCAGGAAAAGAGCAGCAGGGTTACATTTGAGCACTCCACCATGGAATGTGGCTGCAAAAAGGGGTTAGGGAACAGTGAACTACGGAGTGGTGCTTGAGCTAGGTCCTAAAGCAGAAATTAAAGAAAGAACTGGAGAGGGGCCAGGGATACAGCTCAGTGATACAGCGCCTGCCTGGCAAGCACAAGGTCTTGAGTTTGATTCCTAGTACCAAAAAAGAAAGGAAGGAAGGAAGAAGGGAGGGAGGGAAGGAAGAAGGAAGGAAAGAAGGAAGAAGGAAGGAAAGAAGGAAGGAAGGAGGGAGGGAGGAAGGGAGAGAGAGAAAGAAAAAGAAAAAGAAAGGAAGAAAGAAAGAAAGAAAGAAAGAATGAAAGAAAGAGAAAGAAAGAAAAAGAAAGAGAAAGAGAAAGAAAGAAAAAGAAAGAAAGAAAAAAAGAAAAAGAAAGAAAGGAAGGAAGGAAGGAAGGAAGGGAGAACTGGAGAAAGCCTGGAGGGTCTTTCCTCAGAACGGCCTGAACGCAGGGAGGAGAGGGAGTCACCTCACAAACCTCAGAGCTCTGTACCCAGGGCTTTAGACAGTCATGGAGGAAGTGGGAAGAGGAGGTGGGGTCCAGGCGTCTTTGCACACCTCATCTCTGAAGAGGTCCCTGAGTTCTACCCCTCCCTTGGATTTTGGAAGAGACCTGGGTAAGAGAGGACCAAACGACTACATAGACTTATGAAACTGGGGTCATAAGAGCATCTACCTTTTGGGTTTATGCGGACTGAATGAGTTATTACCTGTAAAGTGCCCAGACCAGCAGCTGTTGAATTCATGTCATCACGCCTACCGTCCAAAGCATTATCTGAAGTGTTAACAAATGTCCACAGTAATGTTTTTTGATGGAGTTTTCCTCTGTCATAACTAAAGCAAAGGAAGTAAGAGAACAGGTGAAGAAAGGACTAAATACTATGCAGGACGGTGCAGTCCAGGAATGATCTCACCTCCAGGGCAGGAGTGAGATGCTCCCTGATTTCCTGCTGGATCATTCCTCCACTGCTAGTGGTCTGTCTACACCAGCAGCATCCCCAGTTCCCCGATTTGCTCTCATGTTGACTCTCCGTTCACTGCTGTTGGCCCAGCGCCTTATTTTGTGTCCGGTATAAAAAGACGCTGGTGCCTGTTTGTAGAATGAATGAAAGAAAGACGGCCTGCTTCTTCCTCCATTTTCTTGAACAGTATTTATTCTTCAAATAAACACTTTTTTACCGAACTGTTGAAAGCCTGTGCATTGTTGATAGGCTGTATAAGTAGTTTTAAATTAAATTAAATATTTATGTAATATGCGTGAGCCACGGGGCCTTCAGAGTTGAGCTTCCTGGGTTTGCCTCCTGCCTCTGTCGTTCAGACTCTCCGGTTTCAAATTCCGCCCCTCCCACCTTTTACCTGTGTGGTCTTGAGCAAGTGAATCAATCTGTCCGCTTTACTCTTTATCGGTAAGATAATAGTGGTTCGGCCCTCACAGGGATGCTGTGAAAAGTAAACGAGTTTATGTCTGCAAGGTATTTGACATCACACACGGCAGTTCATGAACACCGCAGTGGTTTATGGTTAAATATCTAAAATAAATTCTCGTTTTTCCAATTAAATATAGTAACAGGATGCACCTTACACAGTTATTGTAGCAATACTGGGTGGTACCTAATAAGCAATACATATTGTTACTACAGATCTTAGAGCAAATCTTTATTCTTACAATCTTCTATGCGGATTTAGGGTTCTAACTTAGCCTTTTTATTTTTTGGTCTATTGCAGGTTTTATTGATTCTATTTCACCTTTCCTGCAAAACTCTTTCTTCGCTCTCTGTCCTATCCCTTTGCTTTGCGTCATTTTTTCTTTTTAAATTGCAAATTCCTCAGGACAAGGACTTTGTTCTTTGTTTTGGAATAGTTTTATAACATTGGGTACAGGTTTGGTACTATAAAACTGTTAAGAAAAAGGAAAAGAAAGATATATTTCACTTAGAGGCAACTTGGGTGGACAGTGGGCTGGTCCCTTTCTGCCAGCAGCGTTGGAACGGTGCAGGCCGCTGGGCCTTGAGGGCTGCGGCCCCTGAGCAATGCACAATCTTTGGGGAGCCTGAGGCAAGAGGGGCCGCAGGGAGGACTGGAGGGAGGACTGCAAGGAGGCCAGAACAACATTACTTTAAATAAATAGCATGGAATTTAGGGAAGGGATTCAGTCAAAGACTCTCACTTTATCCTGTTCCTGGAACTGCCCCTTGAATAATTGCTCTTTGTTAAGCAACTAGAAATTATGTGTACGTAGGTAGAGAAATCCTACAGACTCTGCAGAAAAACCAGTTAAAGCTACTAAGTGATTTTAATAAAGTTCCAGGATACAAAAATCAACATACGAAAATAAGTTTTGTTTCTATACTCTAAAGATAGACTATCTTAAAAGGAAATTAACAAGAAGTTCCCAATTAGAACAGCGCCAAAAGAAAGTAAAGTAGTGATAAACTTAACCATGGAGCTGAAAGACGTGGACGCAGAGAACTACAAAACACTGAGGAAATAAATGAAAGCCCAGCGGAAACACCCTGGGCTGGTGAACTGGAGTACTTCATATTGAAATGTTCCTATGACCCAAAGTGACCCGAAAACCCAACCCATCTCCATCAAAATTCCCATGAGATTTTTTTACAAGAATAGAAGAACCCTAAAATTTATATAGAACCACAAAAGCCCCCAAGTAGCCACAGTGATCTTGAGAAAGACTAACAAAGGTGGAGAGATCACATTTCCTAATTTCAAAACATCTCATGTATTAGGGTAGTATTCATGTAAAAGTAGTCCCGAGATCAGTGGAACAGAAGCGTATATGATCAACTCATTTTCAGTAGGAGCGCTAACACTACACAGTAGGGAAAATACGGTCTTTTCAACAGATAGTGTGGGGAAAACTAAACATCCATTTGCAAAAGAATAAAATTGAATATCTGCTGGGTGTAGTGGTGCACACCTATAATCCCAGCACTCAGGAGGCTGAGGCAGGAGGAGCGCTGTGAGTTTAAGGCCAGCCTAAACTACAGAGTGAGCTCAAGGCCAGCCTGAACTGCATAGTGAGACCCTATCTCAAAACGACCAAAAAAAAAATTAAATCTCTATATTATACCATACCCAAAAGAAAACTCAAAATGGATTAAAAACCTGAATGTATCGAACAAAACTGTAAAAAATTCTAGAAGAAAACATAGGCAAAAAGCTTTTCACGTTGGTTTTGGCAGAGATTTATTGGATCTGGCTCCAAGAGCACAGGAATCAAAAACAAAAACAGACAAGCAGATCTACATCAAACTGAAAAACGCCTGGACAGCAAGGGAAAGAACAGGATGAAAGGTAGACTTATGGGTTGAGAAAACATATTTGCAAACCATATCTGATACGGGATGAATATCCAAAATATATAAAGAGCTCTTAAAAATACATAAGCCAATTAAAAAACAGGCAAAGGACTTGAGTTGATATTTCTCCAAGTAAAGAGTAAAAAGACCAAAGGTTATAGGAAAATGAACTTAGCATCCCTAATCATCTGGAGATCACCAATCCAAATCACAGTGAGATATCACCTCACACCTGGTGCAGAGGCTGTTATAAAACAGAACAGCTAATGAGTGTTAGCAAGCGTACGAGTAAGAGGGAACTTTTGTACACCATTGGTGCAGTACACTTAGTGCAGTAATTATGAAAACAGTATGGAGATTCCTCAAAAAATTGAAACTAGAGCTACCATGTAGTCTGGCAGTCCTACTTCTCAGTATTTATTCCAGAGAATTGAGATGAGGACCTTGAAGAGATGTCTGTTCTCCCAGCTTCACTGCAGCACTGCTCACACTAACTGACTTCTGAAACTACACAAATCCGACGGGTAGATGAGTGAAGAAAGGAAAGACGATAGGTACATACAAT